CGGACATTTAACCAAACTGTGACCTTTTCCCTCTTGCAATTTTACCTTCCCCTCACCCCCATCCTAATCTTAACCAGTTTGCGCATGCAAAGCTCTGATCGTTGATGCGCTCCAGACATCTGCGTCCTGAGCACCGCCAAATCAGGTGTCACCACCTCAAAAACAAATTAAGCACGTGATCGTTCATGTCGGCTCATTTCCTTTCATGTTTTCTGTCTGTCATTTGTGCCTGATGCGTTTCGCTGCTGCAGAGCGAGGCGCATCACCTGTTTTGTCCTCCGGTGATGCACCCCCAAAATTCCACTATCTCCGCTCCGGCACGAACTCCGCAGCAAAAACGGTCCCGTTGTAGTCGGCCGGCGAGCAGCGAGCACTCCGCTGTTTTTGTGGTCGGTAGATCTTTTAGAACTGCAGTTCAAAGGTAACTCATGAGGTGAATATAAATGAACCCAGGTAGCAGTTTTTCTTTAGGATTGAGAGGAGATGCAGGAAGATAATAAACAGACAGGACAGAAAAATAGTCAAATAAAAACAAGTTTGCTTTTGTACCTGGTGGATGCAACAAACAGACACCATTGACGGCAATCAGAAGTGAGGAACAGAAAATGAAATAATTATTTTAATGTTTAGAGCAGCAGGAACTCCGAGAGGCTGCAGGCGCATCAGTTTGCTGCTGCTGCGCAGGGGGAGGGGGGAGGGGACTGAAGTAGGATGCAGAAACTACCGTTGTTAACAGAGATGTGTTGACGTAGAAAATGTGGGCGCAATTTTAATTGTCAAAAACTCCAGTGAACCTACCGACCCCCACCACCACCACCCCCCCAGCCCCGCCACTTCAGGTGTATGACGTCATCAACGACTAGTCGAAGTCGACTCGATTTTCATTACTTGACTGTCGACTTTAAAAAAAATTAAGTCATGCAACCCCTAGTACACTCACCTAAAGGATTATTAGGAACAGCATACTGATATGGTGTTTGACCTCCTTTCGCCTTCAGAACTGTCTTAATTCTACGTGGCATTGGTTCGACAAGGTGTTGAATGCATGCTATAGAAATGTTGGCCCATATTGATAGGATAGCATCTTGCAGTTGATGGAGATTTGTGGGAAGCACATCCAGGGCACGAGGCTCCAGTTCCACCACATCCCAAAGATGCCCTATCGGTTTGAGATCTGGTGACTGTGGGGGCCATTGTAGTACAGTGAACTCATTGTCGTGTTCAAGAAACCAATTAGAAATGATTGGAGCTTTATGACATGGTGCATTATCCTGCTGGAAGTAGTCATCAGAGGATGGGTACATGGTGGTCACGAAGGGATGGACATGGTCAGAACAATGCTCAGGTAACCTGTGGCATTTAAACCATGCCCAGTTGGCACTAAGGGGCCTAAAGTGTACCAAGAAGCACCTTGGGCCCCCCAGGAGCATCACAGCTTTTTTTAAAAATGACTCATAAGGCATTGATTTACACTAGAGAACACTGCAAAGTAAACCACACCTTTAACTAAGCTTTTTAGATTGTGTGGTATCATTGAGAATGTGGCTTATTTATTTATCAATTTATTTTGTTCCATTTTAATATTACTAATCACACCACTCCTTTGTCAAGGTAGGATAAAACAGAACAGTTGTTCTTTCAATAGACTGCATGAATAAAATTTTAAAATCAATTAGCAAAGTGATAAAGTTACCTGCTGACCATTAGGGAATGAGAGCCTAATGAACCTATTTTCTGTTGAAATTGTTTGCTTTTAATCAGACACGTTTGAGACCAAAGAACAATAGACTCTTCTCGTATTTTAAACCTTATAAACACACTTTATCAACAATAACAAGGATGTGTTGACAGCCTTTTCATTTTGGAATTGCTGTCAAAATGTTTTTGGTAGAATATTACCAGCATCTCCTCTGACCATCAAGTGTAGCAGTACAACATAGTATTTAATGCTGTTGAAGAGTACCGGTAAGTTTTTTCTGACTAAGAACAATAGAGGTGTTGTCTCCTCTTGTCTGATCTCATTTCATTTTATAGCTTACCATCTCACATGATCATCTCAAAATCTCCTCTCAGATCATTGTATCCCATCCTTGTAATCTCACCTCATCTCTTCTCTTCTTAACATCTGACTATCTCACCTCATTGTTTCATGGTCTCATCTCATTTTATCTAATCTAATCAAATTATCTGTCAATATTTCATCATTTCACTTTATCATGCCATGATCTCCTTTAATCTGTTTTTATTCAATTTCACGTCATTTGATCTCATCTCATTATTTGATGTAACTCATCTCATGTTTTCCTGTCTAATCTCATCTCATGTTGTGGGCGGCTGGGCTCTCCCTTAGAGATAGGGTGAGAAGCTCGGTCATCCGGAAGGGTGTCGGAGTCGACCCGCTGCTCCTCCACATCGAGAGGAGCCATTTGAGGTGGATCAGGCATCTAGTTAGGGTGCCTCCTGGACGCCTCCCTGGTGAGGTTTTCCGGACATCTTAAACCGGGAGAAGGCTAAAAGGAAGACCCAGAGCACGCTGGAGGGATTGTGTCTCTCGGCTTGCCAGGGAACGCCTTAGGATTCCCTCAGAGGAGCTGGCCCAAGTGGCTGGGTAGAGGGAAGTCTGGGCCTCCCTGCTTAGGCTACTGCTCTAACCTCAGATAAGCGGCCAAAAATTAATGGATGGATGGATCATTGCATCATTTGTGTCAATATATTTTTATCTCACCTCATGATCTCATAATCTCCTTATATCTCATTGTATTTGATCTCATATCTGTTTATCTAATCATCTCATGTCATCTTATTTTGTCCCGTCTCATCGAACCATCTCACTACTCTTCACACTCAATCATTTCCTATTTAATTCCTTGTTAAGGTTGCTATCTGTAGCTTTCCCCTTCCATGAAGTACATATGATTTTTCAGAAATTCATAAAAGTTATTTCATGTACTGTGATATAATGCAGGCAATACATCTTTTTTTCTAAGCCCTGTCCTGTAGAGTTTCATGCAATATGAATTGAGCACTGGTCAGCACTAACTAATAGCATTAAACTACCGCTTACGTACAGACGTTAATCACAGTGCGCGCTCGAGCGTTTAAGACTGTACCACGGTTGATGCAGAGTTGATGATTTTTAAAGCAAGTAAGTAAATTATAAGAATATGAATACACAACATATATTGAGCATAATAATTTTAAAACAATGTGTTTTAGCCCTGCTTTGTCGGCTACAGGAGCACATTAATAGCACATTAATAAACAAGTGGTGTTGCTGTCGGCTGTGAATATAGAATATATAGAATAGAAACAAATTGTCCTTAAATTTAAATAAAACAAAATTTATGTTATTCGGAAACCACAAGAAAAATATTAACATTGAAATTTGTGTTGATAATGTATATCTAGAAAGGGTTAGTACCATAAAATTTCTTGGTGTGATCATTGATCATAAGGCCTGTTGGAAATCACATATCACTTATGTGAGGGGAAAGTTAGCACGGGGCATTGCTGTCTTGGGGAAAGTAAAACATTTTCTGGATAGGAAAACATTATATATGTTATATTGTGCTTTCATATTACCATACATGAGTTATTGTGTAGAAGTTTGGGGAAACACATATAAAAGTAATATTCAGACTATAATCATAATGCAAAAAAGGGCTATTAGATTAATAAATCAGGAGGGGTATAGGGCTCACACAAACGCACTCTTAAGATGCAAGCTTTAAAATTCTAGGACCTGGTCAAGTTTAAAACAGTGCAAATAATATATAAGGCAAGGAAATGGATGCTCCCAATTGAAATAAGTAAATGGTTCTTAGAAAGAGAAGGGAGGTATAATTTTAGAGGGAAGTGGAATTTAAAAGTACAAAGAGTAAGAACGACATTGAAAAGGATGTCTATTTCAATAGCGGGCGTTAAATTCTGGAATGAGTTAACAGAAGTAATAAAGGACAGTAGTGATATAAACCAGTTTAAAATAAAACTCAAAAAAGAAATGTTAACTAAGTATAAGAATGAAGAAAATGCAATTAACCCAGGACGGCATGCAAACTGATGTTTAATCTCTTCTACAAATTAGAAAATCTAAATATAGTTCTAGTTGAACATGAGAATTTTATTTATTTATTCATAATTTTTTTGTTGTTGTTTATTTTTATTTATTTTTTTGAAGGCATTGTAAATGTTTTGTTGTTTAAATTTTGATGATGAGGATGTAAACCTAAGGGGGTAGGGCTAAATAAGTATACACTTGTCCCTACTCCTTTTCAAACAACTGCATGGAATGATTTTATGAAATGTTGGTGAATGTATATGTTTGAAATAAAGTGAAGTGAAGTGAACTGAACTGAATATGGATGTGATTTAGCATCACAACGCATTTTGGTAGATGCAGTGATGTGTATGTTTGAAGGAGTATGTGGAAATGTGCATGTGCGTTTAACTGGCCATATCCCGCATGCGGCAAACATGCATATGGTGATGTCTCTCTCTCTCTGAATAAAAAAATGAGCTCATCACATGTAAACTACTGACAGTAATTTTAAATGTTTCACTAATCTCCTTTAAACTGAGAGGACACACGGAACATTGGTTCAGTCGGTCATGCCAGCAGGCAGGGGGCCAACCTTTTTACAGGGCACCCTTTAATTTACCAGATGTCTACTATAGGATTAGTTTAGTGAAGCACATCTCAGTCGGATCCTCCAGCTGGTTCTCCAGAACAGCATTCTTAAGAGACTGGTGACAATTACAAGGTTGAAAAATCCTTGAATACATGACATACCGGTATATAACTTTTTTTTTTTTTGAGTCAATTTTTATTTTAGGCAAAGCAAAAGTTTAAATGAAAAATAAAAATTGGAAATAGAAAATATTTTTAAAAATACTTTTATGTTTTATAAATCAAAAGGAATCCTCTTATAGCCGCTACGACTTTGGAGGGATTTGATGGTCTCATGTCAATCAATAACAATCTTGTGTTTTACTCTCTTCAGACAACACTCAGATGAATAATGTGGCTCAATCACCAAGTTTGGTAAGTCAGCCATATCCAGCAGTGGGACAGATCACCAGTCCATATGAAGAAATGCCTATCGTCAGCCCGTATGAGCAGACGCCCATCAAAGAATTCAACAAATACACATTACTCAAGGCTGTGGGTAAGAATTGTTTCATAGAACTCATGGAAAATCGCCAGTTTGATCAGATGTTTTCTATAAACCACACTTTTAAAGGTATGGCGGAGGATGTTTCTGAATTTCAGGAAAAAACTGCCCTCTTTGAGTTTTGAAAAAAAAAATGCACATGACAAAGAACGCCCAGTTGTACTCGTGCACGCTCTGTTTAGACGTAGCACCGGCCTTGCAGCTAAATTCTTCTAGCAATTATCTGAAATGAATAAATCCAAATAGCACACCAAACTTTAGCTTACCTGTCGAGCAGAAAATCGGCGACAGAGACATCTGTGGGGAGCCCAATCTTTGCTTTGCACAGGAAGTGAAAGCTACCCAGCAACAAGCACGTACGGCGACAGCCTTGAGTGAATGGTTCACCAGAATGATTGACAGTTATGCGGACCAATGGTTCAGATGATCCACAAAGAAAAAGATCCTCTGTTATATCTTTAACCCTCTGGAGGCAGGCGTTGTAGATTTGCAACGATTAAACCTACCTACCTGGTTACTCCACACACATATTTCATGAGCATTTTTTAACTCAGAAGTACCCCTGAAGGACTTAGTTGTTCGTCCTTTTATCACAAATTATTTTGAGCCTGAGAGGGTTAAGCTGCAATAACTAATGCCATGGTCTTTGGACCCCTGACATAATATGATGAAATTGGTTTTATATATATATATATATATATATATATATATATATATATATATATATATATATATATATATATATAGATAGATAGATAGATAGATAGATAATTGTTTTTACTAATTTATTTTTTTCCCAAAAAGTTTTCTTATGCTGTTCCATCAATAGAACTTAAAGCTTCTTCAATTCTGCCTCTTTTTCATAGTCCTGTCCAAAAATAATTTAAGTAATGTAAAAATCTAGATGAAAATACCACAACACATTAGAGGAAGTGTCAAATGGAGGTATTTATGGATCTGTTTTGGTGCTATTAGAGCAATAGGAGTATTTTTATAGATCTGACCTAAATCTATGAGCTGTTCTCTTTTAACAGACCTGACAGTGGAATAGACATCAGTAATCAAAGTTCTTACAATAGGTCCAGTTGCATCTCACAAGCTTGTGATTAAGGCTTGCACGTGCTGTCAAGCACACGGATCACTCAGCACATCCCCGAGTGGGGCTGATTTGATGGACTGAAGTTGTATGCAGATGGAGAGCTTCTTTGTAAAAAGTTATATGAGCAAATCTTTTAACACTTAAACTGCTCATTTACTAACTTCACAGTTTTTACTTTCAGTTATCAAGCAATGAAATGCCTCTTTGTATGAAATATGCTATATAAATAACAACTGCCCTTTTTTACATTTAGTTTTTTCATGCGCTTCATCGTAGTCGCTACTATATATATATATATATATATATATATATATATATATATATATTTTTTCTTTTAGCAAGAGATTCAAGGCATGACTACAGTTTCGTTCCAATAAAGATCCTTTCAAAGGTTTGAAATATGTTTATGAGTAAATGGAAGCTAAAGAACTCCATAATTATTTGACATCAACTTGTTATCCTCTTTATCAGGTACGCCTCGTTAGTACCAAGTTGGACCCTCCTAACCATCAGAACTGCCTTCATTTAAATATACTTTATTCAAAAAAAAAACATTGGAAACATTTCAAAAGTTGTTTTTACCAAACAATACCGTCAATTTGCTGCAACACAGTGGCGGCATCTGGGAGCCTTTGGTGGTTTATAAGTGGCGATGTTGTGGCGGTAATGTGGTGAAGTCATGTCCTTTTTACAAAAGATTTGGCATAAAGGGGAAATGGAGGCAGTTTCTGTGCTGCCACGGACTTCCGTTTATCTTGGGCATAACTTGCTTTTTATTCCAATCAAATGTTTATGTATTTATCCTTATTATTATATTATTATTTATTAAAATGTTCCATATTCTAACTTTAAGAGATTTTGGTTGATACCTGATAGCATCATTCAAGTGTAGATTATGGATGCCTTGCAAAAGTATTCATGCCTGTTTTGCACATTTTTACACCTTAAAACCGCAAACTCGTTTTTATTGAGGTTTTCTGGGATAGACCAACACAAAGTAGAACATGATTCCGAACTGGAATAAAACTGAAACATGATTTTGTGAATGTTAACCCATTTACAATCGGAAAAATGGCAATGTGCATTTGTATTCACTCCCAATTGGGATACTCCTAAATAAAATCCAGTGCAATCAATCATCTTCACAAGTTGCCTGATTAGACAACATAGTTGATCAATGTGTAGTTTGGTTTCATTATAAATACCTGCTCTGTGAACATTATTGAACAAAAAGCTTAATGAAGACAAAGGAACTCACCAGACAGGTCTGAGATAAAGTTGTAGGTTAGTTTAAAACAAGGTTAGGATAAAAAAAGTAACCCAAGCTTTGAACATCTCAAGGAGCACATTTCAAGCCATCATCCAATAATGGAAAAAGGCAAACCTACCAAGACATGGTCATCATGGCTCTGACGGACAAGGAGAGCACTGGTCAGAGAAGCTTCTTAGGCCCTGTCCACACGTAGCCGGGGATCTGCCAAAACGTAGATATGTTTCTACGTTTTGGCCTGTCATCCACACGAAAACGGAGTTTTTGCAGACGAAAACGGATCTTTTTAAAAACTCCGGCCAAAGTGAAGATCTGCGTTTTCTCTGTTTTGGGTGTCTGCGTGTGGACAGACAAAACCGGAGTTTTAAGGTCCGCAACGTCACTTTCCGCGACAAAAAATGCTGACATCACGTGTGCGACCTGTGTTTACACTAGCCGACAGCATGGAAGCCTTCACAGCTGCGCTCTGTCACTACCCGATCCATCAATTGTCCAAGCGCTTTCTGCTTGTTTGTTTTTGCAAGCGGAATTACTGCTCCTCGCGGAAGACCCCACAACCACAGACGAAGGACGAGGTTAAGAACGGGGGAAGTACTGCCGCCTACAGTACTGTGGACAGAGTTTGTTTTTTAAACGCGGTGGTTATGTATTTCTGTCAACAAGAACTTTCTTCTTGCTGCTTCTCCATAAAGGCCAGACTTGTGGAGTACATAGATTACAGTTGTCCTGTGGACAGATTCTCCCACCAGAACTGTGGATTTCTGCAGCTCTTCCAGAGTGACTATGAGCCTAAGGCCTAGTCCACACGTAGCCGGGGTTTTTTGAAAACGAATATCTGCCCCTCCAAAAAATTGCATCCATAAACAGTTCTGTTCACCAGGAGCCATGTGGAAGAAGTTGTTCTGCTCAGACCAGACTAATGTGGAGCTTTTGAGCCTCAGTAGAGATACTTGTGGCAAAAAAGTAATACTGCAAAAAGATTTGCAAAGCTGCTACAGACATACCCCAAAACACTTGCAGCTGTGATTGTAGCAAAAAGGGGCTCTGAAAGTATTAACGCAGGGTCCTGAATACAAATCCACCCCACACCCATACATACCAATTTTTATTTGCATAAAAATGAGAAAACCGTGCATTATTTTCATTACACGTCCCAAGTGTGTACTTTGTGTTGATCTGTCACAGAAAATAATTCCCTGTAAACCCTAGCGAGGGTTGTGAGTAAAATGCCAGTATATCTTTAGTTTCTAAAATACCCAGACCAGCCTTCATCCAATAATGGTATGGAATGGAAATAGAGACTTTTTTCTCTATTTTGATGCTCTTTTTGAACGTAATAAAATTGTAACGAGGCCATAACATGTAGTGTTGTCAAAAAAATTGATACCCAGATATAAATCGATACTAAAAGTGGTATCTAAATGAGATATTTCATCCCTGTGGTATTGATATTATGGACTATTATACACAGCCTTCTTCAAGTACACCGACACGCACGACAGCCAGATGCCGTAAAGCAGCCTCCGCCTCCCAGACAAACAGAAGAAGAAGACGCCGCATGGCTACATTGCAATTTCCCACGCGAGTTGTCTCCAATCCAAGTTTTGTCTGCCAAATAAATAAACAAAAACATAAACAGCGCATTTGGGAGGCGCTTCACAGCCCAACTTAATTAGCGCACCAAGTCCGACACGTAGTTGTATATTCACGCTTATGTGCTTAAAGGAAACTCCCTTTTATTTCAACCCGGACTTAATTTCTAGCATGCAGTACGTTTGTTTACTCACGCTGACAACTTTGGTGCTACTTGGATTCCCCGGGGTATTTACCGTAGGTCCATCGCCGAATCGCCGTCAGTGTATATCCATATAACGGGTGCGGACGGCACCCATGGTGCAGCCTCGAAGTAAGACATTATCTGCACCAAAACATCTTCATGTCGAAAGGTTTTGTTAGGAATCATTAACGTGATTCCCCTGTTCGTTTGGAGCGGGTCTGGGATTTCTAGGCGTAAACAGACTAGCCGCGGCTAATCTAACCGGCGCTTTTAATGACGTCACTGCCGTGCGCCAGTCTGTTTTTATTAAGATTACCTGTAGATGTACCTTTGTCCTACTGTGGAGAAATTCGTTTTCTCCCTTTATTGACCAACAGAGTTGTTCAAAAGTACAGAACAAAACATATGGCATTACATCTTATGACAAAAATGCACCTTAAACAGAGTTTAAGCAGCAAAACATCACTCTGCAGATAGTGTATATATAGTGAGACAATTCATGATTTAAAGTGTTAACTTTCACCAGTTTTTGTATGCACGTTTTAAAAAATGCTGATACTTGAAAGGTTTAAGCACTTAATACACTTAATTCTTAACATTTAATTTTTGTAATATAAATTGAGGAATGTTATTTTTTGAATAAACTTGTTCGATAAATGGGTGTTTTTAAATAGTATCGAAATCGAGTATCGAGTTTTTTTCAAGTATCGAATCGAGTTTGAAATTTTAGTATCGTGACAACCCTAATAACATGGAAAATCCACCGCCGTAAAAACCACGCATCTTTAAAGATGTACGTCTGCAAAGATGTGCGTAATGGCCAGCTCAGGATACGTGTCTTAAGAGACTAATACAAGTCCATGGGTTGGAGTGCCAGACTGGCGTGCAAGTTCAGTTTCGCTGCAACACTGATCGCTACTGGAGATCCTTCCTGCCAACAGCCATTGTAATATACAATAACTCTTTGACGACTTGATTATTTTTATTATTCTGAGCTACTACAGCAATCAGTTTCCCTCTGGGATTAATAAAATATTTTTGAATTGAACTGAATTGAAGTTGACCCTTCAGTCGCAGCACTGACCGTTTTCCTTTTTTTTAGCTACTCTTGCCAGTATTATGTTTTCAACCCTTTATTGGTAAACTGTTAAAAAATATAAGGATTAATGTGTTATTTATTTATTTTTTTTTACTTTTTTGTTTATTCAGCCAGTGTGAGTCCATGTGAGCAAAGCAGCATAAATAAACTAAAATGCTGTTTGGAAATGACCAAAGTCAAAGATCTTTATAGACACAAATTATTTAGTAGAAAATAATCAAAACAGTAGAATATAAAAAGATGAAATCTGCTTTAGCTGGCTAAACACATTAATGCACCGGGAGTTGAACCGGCATCAGCTCTTTGTAAAGCAGGACAAAAGACAGACGCTGGACACCCAAGGACAATACAACAGCAACTTGCCTAAGACACTATTGTAGGTGTGTTTTGTAGGAGTAGCGTTGGCAGAGCTCCAATGAAACTGTTTTATTTCCAGGTACAAATTCAGGCTGACGAAAATGACCCGTATTTAAGATAAAAGACATCTCAACAGTAATTTTTTAATCATACTGTGCCTACCTTTGCTCTCAAAGGTTTAAAATAGCATGAATTCATATAATATGCTAATCCTAACCCTAACCCCTCCTTTAAACAAGACACAGTGGGGAGGTTGTCAGAAACAATCTCATTGTTTATTTTTGCATTTGTTAGCAGAGAAAGTGAACGATCAAAGCAACAGACGACAAGTAATGGAGATGACGACCAAGGGTGGCCTGCCCATGGAAGGTGTGGACACGGAACCAGAGCCGCGTAACCCTTACAGTCCACCCAGGCAGCGTTCGTCAAAGCAGAAAGGACACAACTACAGAAGCCACAGGAGCAACAGCTCACAGTCCCTGTACTACAGCTCCAACACTATAACCAGCCCAGGGGGGCTAAGATCCTGGCAGAGCAAAGACACACTGGGACACCAGCAGTGCCATGGCCAAAAGAAACACAGCGTCATGGAGAACGAGTTACATAACACTCTCTACATGCCTCCACAACCATACTTTGTTACCAACAGCAAAACGGAGGTGACAGTATGAACGACGGTCATGATCTCTCTTGAAAGAAACCTGCTTCTAAAAGACAGAAGCTCCTGATTCTGACAGGAAAGCAGCCTGGACTTTCTGCACATATGTATGGAATGGGCTGCATTAACGATGGGGTGAGCTGTACTGTAACAGGACTCTCAGTCGATGATTGTGCCCCATGTAACGAATATATTGTGTTTGATGCTCATATAATCCCACTGCTAAGGTTGTTTAACTTGTATATCACAGTGTGACACGTTGAACCCTGACACCATGACACCATGCTGAGGCACCAGAGTCGGATCTGAAAGCTATGATCAGCTGAAAGGAAAGAAAATCATTCTTATCCAGTTTTGATTAGGACATGGATGATGAAACAGGACATTGCTTGTTGTGTGTGAAAATGTCTTAAACTATTTACGTGCTCAACAATCATGTATCCTCTAAATGTTGCCTCATATGCAATATCCCTGATTATTTCTATTCTGTTTCAATTATTTGAACTAAACTATTTATCATGAATTGTTACCACGTATTATGAGCCCTCCTGAGTATTAATAAATTTTATAATACTTCAAAATGTCTAAAACTGCCAACTTGACAGAAAATTGTACAAATTTGGAAAATCCTGTTTTTTTAACGTATTATTTAAAGTGTTTGACCTTTATTAAACAGTTACATTAATTTAGGTGATGTTAATCATATTTCTCTAATAACCATCTGTTCTGAGTAAATAAAGTAGTTAGTGGTTTTAATAACTGGAAAGATGCTGTGAAGAAAAATAAACTTTTTTGTGAGTTGCAACACAAACAAATGAGTCCTCTGAGTGCATCTGACACACAAAATAAAATTTGCCGTGGCCTTTTACATCAGCACTTGCTCCACGGCCGGGGATAAGTGGGACATTAGCTACATGCTAAACTAGAGCTAACAGAGTTTTTACGGCTATTTTCAGCAAGAAAAAGGCGGCAGAACACTCCAAAGTAAAGGCACCTCCGTCTGCTTAGTAACAAAATCATAACTAGGTAACCTGACCGAGAATATCGGGCTTGGTTGGTCCACCGCAATGAAAGGTCCACATGTCCATCGTTGTTGATGATCCCTTCTCCAGGAGCCGGAGATCAGCGGGACATTAGCTACACGTTAACCTGGAATTATTGAAGTTTTTCTGGGTGTTGACAGTGAGAAAGATGTGGTTGAGCATCTCAAAACTGAAGCAGCGTCAACAAAAAGAGCTGCGGTGTTTCTGTGATTCAGCATGACTACAGCCTCACTTCGGAGTCGGCCCGGCTGCCCCGGGAAACGGGAACAGGCAGCCGCTTGCTCTAACTGTTCCCGGGCAGGAGATAGGAGAAGCTGGGGAGCCGCTCAAGGTTCTTATGCCGCCCCACTAACATGTTTGACCAAGCAGCTTCCCCCCATTCAACCAGCAAAATAAAGAACAGAAATATAATTTTACTTACTGATAAAAAGAAGTAGAAATTGCTTGGATGGTCTGTTAGTTTCCCCTTTGTCCAACTAATTCCATGATTAACATCCAAACACGAACACACACACAGACAAAACTAAAGATCAGAGAGTTAAAATGGCAGAACATCTATTAAGGTGAGGCTGAGGCCTTTCCCTGGAGCTAGCTCTGAAGTCACATGGATGCTAGATAATTTTTCAGATTTTTAAGCATTTAATACACTTAAACAGAAGAGTTGTCATGAGTGTAAATTAGATCTATTAAATGTGAAATATGCTTTTGTGAACAGGCTGTAAACATGTTTCTTTCTGCTGTGAAATTGGTATTTTTAACATGGGAGTCAATGAGGATTTGCTCACTTCTGACACCAGCCCCTAGCGGATGAGAGTGGAACTGCAATTTTTGCCACTTCTTTGCTTCTTATGCAGAACCGAATTATGGGGGCTTGGTGTACAGACAAATTGTATTATTTTCTTACACACTGATACTATTTACATGTTGTCTTCTAAATAATCAGTGTTACACTTGTTAAAGTTAAACTGAGGCTTCACTCTACTTTTAAACTTGTTGGATAATTGATTACTGCCAGGATTTGCTCCAACCCCTCATCTCGTTTACCCCTAATTAGTTGTTTAATGGACTCACCTGCACCTTGTTGTCCTACCCATGTGTTTCTGATTATCCTTGTGTATTTATGCCCCCTGTTTTGCTCTTGTCCTTTGTGGGATCATTGTTGTGTTTTCATCCTGTTACGTTGCTCCTGTTGTATCGTCCTACCTGCCATTATTCATTAAATCTATCTTCTTCTTTTTTTTTAACCTGATCTGGTATTTCTGCCTCCTGGTCCAGCTCCACCACACATGGGCCCACCACCATCTACACTGCACTGTGACAATCACATCCTACAGTTTCATTTCTGCATAGAACTCCTGTTTACATTCTGGCTTTCAAACAAAACTTAAATTTTACCAGTCCTCTGAGAGCATCACCAGTTTTTTGAAAATGCCAGGAGACATTTTTGTTAATTAGCAATTTGTGTTTCCTACCACCAAGAGTCTTCCCATTGGAATTTAAATCAGCTTAGTAACCCAGTTCAGTCAGACAGAGTGGCACTGCTGCGTGCGTCTCCGTATAAAATCCTGATATTATAACAATGGCATTATGAAATGAAAACTTAAAATAAGACTGTGAAGGACTGGCAACCAGTCCCAGGGACTGCTGGAGATAGGAACCCGCTCTTTGTGACCCTGTAGAAGAAAGAGCAGTTACAGAAGATTAAAGAGTGAATAAAGCAGGTTTGTGCAGAACTGGACAATCTAATTTTGAGCCACTGAAGGCAGCACAACTTTTACTACACATGATCCTTAGAAGTCAAAGGGCATCTAGAAAAATAAAAGCAAACTTTCACAATATGAAGTAAACCGAAACAAAATAACGTAGAAACGCATTTTCAGCTTGTTTGTCGAGAGTACACTTTGCTGACAGTCAAGTTTGTTTGACCATAAGAGAAAAAGGTGCTTCTTGATTCTTTTTTTCCATCATGGTGCTGTTATTACCCTACAAGTGGAGCCAAAAGCGCAGCATGGTAATGGACAGTCACATTTCTTTTTCATGACACTTTGCAAACAAAACATCAAGACAACCACAAGATGACAATTCTGATTAAAAGAGAGAATGTTTATGTTGCTGTTTTCTATATCAATACAGTTTTTCTGCACATTGAGTCGAACGGGAACCTGGTGGCAGGTGCAGGTTTGATTCTAGAAAACCTTTGCTTTTCAGTTTCCTTATTTTTACTCATTCACTAACTTTTGCCCCTTTAACTTCACATCCTCTACATTTGGGCTGAGCAGTAGTCTGTCAGACTGGTCGGCTAGATACTAGGAGTTGAGCTGTAGCGAGCGTGGCTTCACAGACGCGGAAGTGCTAGCATCGGTATAGCACCGGCTCGCGGTTTAATCTACGAATCCCAAGCGTCTGAGCGTCAATGAAGTGACACGGAGATGCCGGGTTCTTCCAGAGGTAAGTAAGAGCACTTACTGTGGATAGACTGTTCGTCGGGCAGATTGGTTGGTTGGAAACTCTGATCATGAATCTGAAGAAATGATGACTGGGTGGTGAGCTGGAGAGGCGACTTCTGTATATAGTCGCGGTTCGTGACATGGAGGGAATCCCCGCGAGGTGCTGCTGGGAGTTGTGGTCCTGGGCGGAGACCGGCTAGCTGGAAGAGGCTGGTTTGGGGACTTGGGCTCTGACAAAGTCACTAAAAATGCTCGGCTAGAGTCCGAAATTAATGCTAAATAGCTACAATTAGGTAAAGATTATGGTTACCAACAAGTCCTTAAAACCAGTAGGTGACATCCTTTCTGTGGTGACCACAACAAAGCCTCTCGGTTTAAAGAAGAACAACAGTTTTCTATTGCCAGCTGTTTTTAGGTCAGTCTTACTATGTGGGTCACAGCATTTTGTCATTTCAACACATGAAAAATACAAGTGAAGGATAGAATAAATAAACTCAAGATTTTATTCCCCAGGGATTCTTGCAATACAAAAGATCACGTACCATACATGAATGAACGAATAATAAAAGTGACATGAAAAGAATAATTGTCATTTACTGGTTGGATCTAAAATATATAAGCTTGCTGCCCTCTTTCCTGCTCAATCGTGAATTGCAATTACTCGCTTCAGCTTTTCTGTTTAGCAAAAACCAACTCTTCTTTTTCTCTAATTGGTCTATTAATAATTATTATTAAACCCTAACCCATTAGAGTCAAACATTCTAACTTGGAGAAAGCTCAAGAGAACTGGCTAGGGCTGCGCTCCATTTCTACAGTTGTGCATGCTGGTCATTTGTCACAACATGCTTAAGAGTAACACTTCAACGTAAAATGGAATGCAGCCCTTGTTGATACACCTCGTTCAAGTCCAAATGCCAGATAAGGAATAGTCTGAGTTTTACACAACAAGACACAAAGTATGAGCTAGTCTGAGTTACAGAGCCTGAACAGGTTTTGTTTTGAATGGATTCCTTCAGTATTTAAACACATGTAGTCTTTAAAAGTGAGGATAAAATAGATCTGTGACCTGCATAACCCTCCTGAAATCTGACCTCTGCACACAACAGGCTGTGCTTGGTCAGTGGGGATGCGCCTCACAGCCAGCATCTTTCAGATGTTGAGACAAAGCTTCTCATCTTGTAGAAAGCAGCAATCGACTGTGAGCTCTGAGTGTTATTAATAGCCACTGCTGGGGTGTTGAGGTTCTGTGGCTGTTGAAGGGCGATGCTGCGCTGCAGGGATCAGAGCTATACTGAATGGGTGAAAGGCCATTGAGCAATCCTGTTCTCAAGGCACCTTTTTCACACAGGTTTTTGAAATTAATAATAACAGATAAGAGGATTCACCAGTGGATGGCAGCACCGACTGAGACCGAGGTAAGTCATCTGAAATAAAATGAAGCTCTTGTGAATGTTAAGGGGTTGTGTATTTTTCAAAAGGGGCAAATTAATCCACCTTATTCTTGCCTAGGCTCATGGAGAAACGATGATGAGAGCAACATCTGGTGGGATTCCGGAAGTAGCACAAATCCACTAGTTTGCATAGTGAGGTTTCATAGCTAGAGCAGACAAAAACATTTACCCTAGAAAAATGTACACGCGCAGCTCCGGAAGATGTTCAATTCAATTCAATTCAATTCAAGTTTATTTATAAAGCGCCAAATCACGACAAGAGTTGTCTCAAGGCACTTCACATAATAAACATTCCAATTCAGGTCAGTTCATTAAGCCAATCAGTAAAAAGTTTCCTATGTAAGGAACCCAGCAAATTGCATCAAGTCACTGACTAGTGTCAGTGTCTTTACAGCAATCCTCACACTAAGCAAGCATTTGGCGACAGTGGAGAGGAAAACTCCCTTTTAACAGGAAGAAACCTCCAGAGGATCCTGGCTCAGTATAAGCAGCCATCCTCCACGACTCACTGGGGATCAAAAAGACAGAGCAAACACACACACACACACACACACGCTTGCACGCACGCACGCACGTACGCACGCACGCACACACACACAAAACATCCAAGTATCCAAGTAGTGTTTCCATGGTTACATTGTGATTTGATAGTAAATATTCTATTTGGTGAAAGATAAACTTTATTGTATTTATCCTAATGAATCTATAATTAAACGGGTAAACTAGTAGTAGCACATTCAATGTCAAG